TCTCCCTGATGTGCTGATGTAGCAGAGGCATGAATGTCATGGGGTAATCAAACACTTTCTGATTACATTTGAGGCTTGCTCCACAGGAGATAATTCAGGTCTTGTACTGTAAATATGGTCAAAAGACCATAGCTATGCTAAATATTAGCTTTGCTAAATATACACTGGAATGTTGAATATATGTAGACATTCAGTAAGTTAAATTTAACTTTTGATTGTATGTAAGAATCTTGTTTCATCTTGATTATATGTCTGATTGGACATGTTCTTAAGATGCCCTCTATTTATACTTATAACCATAGATTAGCGCTCCTCTCAGCCCTGGTCAGAGAAGTATCTTTCTGTAACTGGTAGAGGTTAACGCACAGACTCCTAACTGATCAAAATGCTGACAATCAGTGACTATTGGGTGCTCAGACCTAGGAAGGACATCTGTATGCATCCACTGCCCCTACTCCAAGTCTCCAGGCTCAGGGACACTGGAGAAGACGAGGGAGAACACACATAAGAGCTGGAGGACAGGGAGGAGCTGTGGAGTGCTGCCCTCTGGACCTGACGTGACCACTGCCCTCATTAACTCACAGAGCCACAGTCATGGAACACAAACCAAGCCAACAACACAAACCAGTCAACAGTCCACCAGGGCTTGGGAAAAGGCTCTCGAGGCCCTGTCCCTGGTTCAGGAGCGACTGGCAGTTGATGGCTGCTTGGAGGGTCATTTTTCCTCAGGGACATGGCAGCTGGAATTGGTTGTTCCTACTCTAGATGGTTGGTTCTCTGTCCATATGCATGTGAGAGGTATTAATTGGACTCAGTGGGTTATAGAAAGAGATGGAGTATGAAGGTGAGAGGAGTCCAAGCAGAGGGGCTGAGGGATGAGAGGGGGTAGAGATGATCAAAATACACTGTATACATGTATAAAGTCATCAAAGAACAAATACAAGTGTTATTAAAAAGGTTCTATCTTGCACCCTTATAAGCTACCAATTCAAATAGTGAACAAAATGGTATTAAGCCACGGCCTAAAACAGAAGCCTGGAGAAGGAACAGGAGATTAAAGAACCTGGGCAACAGTGGGAGCGCTTCCTCTGGAGGAAGCAGGCTCTTCAGCTGGCCCAACAGCTAGCTTTCTTCAACCCTGAACTTGGGTTGTAAAGTCCATCCCATATACCTACCTAGTCCATACCCACGGAGCGGAAACAGACCCGGATCACTATGGGTGCTGACCAGTGGCAGGTACCATGTTAAACACCACCCGAAGGAATCCTGTTTTGTTTGTTTGTTTGTTTAATTTTCATAGACCTTTGCATATTTCACCTCTTTCCTTGCAACTAAGTATCAACTTTGGAGATAAAGCATATAGCTTTGGGACTGTGCACACTAAGAATTGAACCCAGATACTTAGATAGGCAAAACAAGTCACTCTACCACTCAGTTATACTCTCAGCAGAGAATATAGTTGTTGTTGTTTTAAATAAGACTATGTTCTCATAGGAAATTAGTACAGTTTAGTACATAATTTTTCAGATCAGCAACAAAATGTATTATTTTAATGGCCCAAGCCATCTGAATATGACTAATATGCTTAGAGTTTTAGTATTTGTGCCCTAAACCGATCCTTTAATAACACTAACATTTTATACACAGTAGTTCAAATAATTAAAATATAAAAGATAATTTTCTAGAAATGTAGAGAGAAATTAGAACAGGAGAGCAAAGCTCATGAATTAAGAGCTGTCTTTAGAATGAACTAGGCTTAAGTCCTAGTACCACCTCTTGGGAGATGATCCTGGACAAGTTAACATCTGGGTCTTCACCACCACCATAGTATTAACAGTTTCTGTTAATAGGATTCCTGAAGATTCGATAAAAACATGCTTTGGTATAATATCTTTAGTGAGGTCCTAACACCAGCTAACGTTACTATTCAACTTGGTTACTTATTACTTTTTGAATACCATAATGAACATTATAGTGGAAAATTAAGGACACACAAAATGAGGATAAATTCTGTAATACTAAAGTTCTTCTGTAATTTAGTTTGGTTCACTATCATTTTGTTTAGAGTTCTTAAAGACTCCAAGAGGAAAAATCAACCAGGCACATATAGGATGAATTGAGAAAATTCAACATTACATCATTTAAGTGAAAATGCCAACATGTGGAGCTACATGAATAAAAAGGCCTTAGAATTTTCTAACAATCACTGGGCCTTCCTGCCAGGTACACAGCATCCAACATGGAAGGTGAAACTGCACACACAAAACTGAAAAACTCCTTACCTTGAATGCTAGAGTGAAGGACTGAAAACTGTCTAAGAAACAAAGAGCAGGGAGTTTGAGTAGACCCGACCCGACACCATAACTACTTAAGTTGACACGTAACAATCCATTAACCCTTCATGTTTCCAGACCCGCTTGCAGTGAAACAAACCAGACTCACCTGCGGGACCACACTCTGCATGTAGGATGGTGGATGCTGCTGCTGCTGCTGCTGCTGCTTTTGCTGCACAGCACTTTCTATTGCTACTTTAGCTACCGTGCTTGGATCCGCTCCTGCTGGTACAGCAACCATGGTTGCGCTGCAGCCAGCATTGTTGGGGTCACTGATTGTAACAATCCTCACTCCTACTTTATTTGGAATTCCTGGGACTGTTTCCCGATCGTTCTCCTCGGCCGGCCTCTTCACAGTTTTGCATTCCGCTGTGCCATTTGTAGACCGGACGTCAGTCGACAGGGCAGAATGGGACACTCTAGATCCTGAGTGGGGAACTGCTAGGATTTGATGCCCCTGTATAACAGGGGTTGTAGAATGCGGTGAGACAACTACACTTGGGCGTTGCTGAGGCACATCTGAATTCAAACTTGAAGCTAGAGGTCCATTAGGCAAATCAGTACCACTGAATTGCTGTGTTGCCACACTTGACGCTTCCTGCATACTGCTTGTGGACGGTGACCCACCCAAAGTTAACACAGGTCCATTAGAAACTCTTTCTAATTGATCACCTTTGGCAGTATCTTGCTGAGTAGCATCTGAAGTCCCTTGTGGTTCTACTGGAGATATCTCACCATTTCCAACATGATTAGAAGAAGTTTTGTGATTTGGAATGTTTTTGCTTAAATGAGAACCATCTCCTTTATCAAAATCACAGATCCCATTAACAAGGGTTTTTTTCAAATCACTTTTGATATCCTGCATGTCCACTTGTTCTGAGTTCTGTTTTGCAGATGCTCCATTCTCACCTAATTCCAAGGATGGCCCATTGCTGATTAGTGAGCACTGATTAGTCTCACTCTGAATCTTCCCTGAGTTTGAAGGAGGTAGACTTGAGTCACTGTACTTTCTCCCATTTAAAAGGCTGCCCACCTGTAGTTCACTTTCACTTGTATCCCCGTTGCTGGTGCTTGTGGTTCCTCGTCGGCAGGACGGATTCTCCATGACCTCAATTTTCCGTTCATGCACATGTAAACCTGTTGCTTCCTTTGCTTCCTCCTCCTTCTGACAAATGATCTTATCGCCTTTGAATGGGGGGGTAGCAGTGGTACATGGTGATTGTCCGGCTGCAAGCGTTTGCACCTGAAGCCCGGCTCCTGCCTGCGCTCCACTCATGCCAATTCCTGCTGGAGCAATGAGCTGAGCTGCACTTCCCTGACTCACGGTTGCAGTCGCAAAACTGGTATTTGGCACAACTGTTATGGTTACCTGGTTGCCAGAAGTCCCTTGGAAAATGGTTGCTGGGCTATTGGAGATCAGTGGACCCGGCAGTATCTGTAAGTTCGAAATGGGCACTGTTTGCACTCCCCCTGTTGATGGCATTGTACTTTGGACCAACTGAACATTTTGCTGGCCAACCAACAGCTGCTGAGCTGGAGTCTGCCCCTGCACTCCAAAACCAGCTGCTTGGTTATTGGCCACCTGATAGACCACCTGAGGGCTGGGAGCTCTTGCATTGTTAGGGGGAGGAATCTGTGGTGCTGGGAGGATCAGCTTACCCCCTGGGGTGGAAGGACCCCGCTTGGGAAGCAGCAGCTGTTTTATCAGACTAGACTCATTGGAAGCAGGCTGGGCTACTCCTGCATTTGTTTGCTGGGGCTGAACTTGCATCTGTACTTGTTGTGGCTGTTGAACTTGTACCTGGACCTGCTGTGCGGGAGGTGCTGGTGAATGCTGCTGCTGTTGCTGCCTCTTCACAGATAGCATCTGACTGACAGTAGGAGGTGGTCCCTGTGACTGAAGGGGGGAAGAAGATGACATGGCAGTAGGGACTTGGTTATTAGTGGTGGGGACAGGTGATGGTGAAGAAGATGGAGTTATGTTTGGTTGTCCAGTTAGCTGAACTGTCTGACCAGCTGGGAGAGCTGCCGGGTTAGCAAGAACAATTTGGTGAATGGCTGGTGCATAAGTTTGACCTTGTTGAGCTGGCTGGCTTACAATCACTACACTTTGCTGGGTTGGTTGCTGTGGTTGTTGAATAGGCTGCTGTACCACTGTTGATGAAACTTGCTGAGAAGGAAGCGGTTTGGGTGCAATGTTCTGGAATCCTACCCTGGAGGGCTGTGGACTTGGAACACCAGCTATGGTAACCACCTGTCCTGTAGCTACCTGGAAATTCTGTACTGAAGTTGCTGAAACGATGTTGGATGCAGAAGTTGTTACGTACTGTGGGGGTGCTATGATAACAGTATCTTGAGGCTGGCTACCAGCCGCTGTCTGTTGAGATGAAGTGTGCAAAGGTTGTGGTGATGTGCTGATTAATTGTTGACCCTGTGAAACTGTAGACGTACATGCTGGCATGTTCTGTACTCTTCCAAATAGATGACTCTGTGGTACAGTTTGCTGGATTACTGTGACAGGAGTACCTGAAGGGATCTGTCCCGGGACCACTGTGTGTAATGGAGATGGCTGTGACATCACAGATGGATGGTGAAGCAAAGTCTGAGAGTTCACAACTGTCACAGGCTGGGGCCCTGTACTGTGATTCTGGACCACAGAACCCTGTGCAGGCCCTCCTCCAAGAGCAACACTCACAGGAACTGCTGTTGGGGGCAGGGAATTCTGGATGACTGTTGCCTTAACGACCTCACAAGGAACTGGAGCCTTATTCTGAATGACAGTCACTGGAGCACTTTGTTGCTGGTGGGTATGAACTGAAGGATTTGGTGGAATTCTAGAAACAGTCTGTGCCACAGTATGAACACCTTGTACTGGAAAAGACATTTGTGTTGCAGTCAAATTTGAAGATTGATTGGTAACAGGAGTCCTCTGAAAATGATTTCCTACAGCTTGAGATCCATGAGGGATTCCTATACATGGGGAAAAATCAAAGTTCCTAGTGAAATGAGGGCAGGACATCAAATGTCTTATTATCTTACTTAATACAAGAGGAAGGGTGTAAAGAAATGAATGCCCAGAGAAGAGGAAACATTCGAGTATGGTGACACCCGTGAGAAATACCGTAAAAAGCACAGGGCAAGGTCATCACTTAATATACACAATATACATTTAAATTCTGGTTCTACACTAGCAATACTTAAAACAATTAAAAACTTGGGGTATGCTGCTATTGCCTGTAATCCCAGTTTTCAAGAGGAGCCCAAGCTTGAGGCCAGCATGGTCTGTATAGCAAGACTTGCCTATGAATAAAATAAAAAGTATTAAAATTTAAAATTAATACCTGCAGGTGAAGGAGTTGGAGATACATCAGCAACAGAATCAACACGGACAACAGGAGTGGAAACTGGCTGCTGCTGATAGTACATCTGGATGGGGAGTGGAATAGCCCTCCGTTTCACTCCTATTACATGGATATGAGCCTGCCCACTGTTACTGGAATCCTCCACTCTCTTTACTGTATGATTTGGAAAAACTGTTCTGTAAAATAACACATACTCAATTATGAAAACCAGCACAAGAACACAACACTGTCTCTAGTAATGCTTAGCACACTGCCACTGTTACTAATGTATGGACCAATATGCTTCAAAATGTCATATTCGGCAAAAGTGGAATACAAAGAAAACTATGTAGAAGATTAATTCTCCAATTAAAAAGCCATTATTTATTAACAATGTTGAGCTGTAAAGCAATTCCATATATAATAGTTTACATACATGTATTTTTACAAATTTAGCAAAGTATCAAAAAGTCTCCTTTTAGGTCAGATGCATGTTAACTACATATTAGGATTCAAGACTTAAAAAGAATAATGTCTTCAACATGTCAAAGAAGGTAGGAAAAGAGGAGAATTTGGTTTCTTACTTTTCTTCCTTTGATAAACCTCCCCATCTCAACAAAGTGACTTTACAAGTCTCCACTGCACTAAAGCCAGCGTGTTTCCGGGGAAGCTCAAGCAGTAGCTCTGTAATCAGCAGCTTTGTGTTTTCTACAGTAGTCAAGAGTAGCCAACATAAATGACTTTGACTGTGAAAAGCTATGCACTTTACCTCAGACATCTGTAAAACCCAGTTGATGTGAGAATGCCACCACGAGCTAATTTACTACAAGTTGAGAGATACTCAGAATACATTTCTGCTCGAGAGACTGAGCAATCTGGATTTACTTCAAAGTGAGCATTTAGCCTAAAAAAGAGCAAGAAATTAAGACATTATATACCACAGGAAAACCCATGTTGAAAGATAATGTGTTATACTAATAATTACTTCAACTAACCAAATTTCATTACCTTGTACGTCAGTAGAAGTATACATACTAAGTTTTAGACAGATTTAATGAACTAGACCAATTGCTTATCATATTACTACAGTATTATAAATAAAAGCTACAGTTACAGCTCTGCCACAGGAAGGATGGTCTGTTAGCAACAGTTCTCTAAGAAGCAGTGTTACCCAGTGGTTATCTGCTGGTGTACCTGTCTTGCAATAACTCCTAATCAAAAGCATCATACTGTACACTGAGGTCAAGCAAATAGTGGAAACCTGAATTAAATTTTTCTTTGCTCCTGGAGCAAATTCCTTCAGCCAAGAATCACCAAAGCTCTCAACTATGACATCAAACAATGACACACTACACACTACCACTCTCATCTCCAAGCACTTCCGTCTGCTACTTCATAACAAATGAAAACATACTTCTTTTTAAAGTAACTTCCATCTACAAGTCAGAATTAGAAACCTAGTTACCTTTGTAAAATCTCTTTACAGAACTCACTATGCAAAACAGGCAAACTTGTTTTTCATACACTTACTCACATAGTAACAATGATAAAATAATTTTCTTTCCTTCTTGTTAAAAAGTGTCAGGAATATAACTGGGATGTGAAAAAGTAAGTCTGTGTGCGCGCACATATGCGCACACACAGCACACACACATGCTTTAATGTGGTGGTGGTTTGTGCTCTTTCCAACTTCCACAATCCTCTATGGTCTCCGAGTTCAAAAGTAGACAGAAGACACCCTTTACTTTGCACTGCAGAAGAAGGCTAACAGACCCAGCTGGCATTAGGAGAGTCCTCAAGAAGAAGGGTCAGCGTGTAACAGTGAGAGGGAAGGGAAGAAAAGCCAGTGGAGGCACTGGAAACCAGAAGCTGGTCAGAGCAGAGCACAGCAGTCTGGGAAGGTCTCACAGATACAAGGCATGGAGACACCGACAGTGACAGGAGCCCGGGTAGTAACCCAGCAAGGGCGGAGGGGAGGGAGGAGTTTCCATGTGGTCGCAGAACCAATGTCGGCACAGCTCCCACCAGCCTCACCAGCTCTACATGTGTTTTGCCCACATGTATGAGATTGGAAGACACAATCTTCTCAAGGAGACAGTACTGTCAAGTTGTTTAATCACAAGGTGTAGACACACCAGCTATCTATCTATCTATCTATCTATCTATCTATCTATCTATCTATCTATCTATCTATCTATCTATCTATCTATAATTCTATCACATGATTCATTCTCCCTTACTAACCATGGACAGGAAAGCTGGACTACCTTTAAATAATAAGGCTAGCTTTAAGCCAGGTGTGCTGGCATCTGCCTGTAACCTCTGTACTTGAGAGGCTATGTTCAAGGACAGCCTGGGCTACACAGCAAGGACCTGTCTCAAACACAAAAACAAAACCAAACAAAGAAGATATTTAACAACAAAACCTGGTTCTACTTACAACACTAGTCCAACTTAGTTTTAACAAAATAATTTGACAAGAACAGACTTTGTAAGCAGACAAATATTATATCCTACACAGTGAAAAAAGATAACATTTTAACACAAATGTTATTCTAGGGGCGTTAAATGACATAGTTTAAAGACATTCCTGTGAGGCTGTTTTAATTTAGAAAATTTTGATGAATTCTTTTCTTTCAAATCATGCCAAAGTATACGTGAAATGACTTATTTATACAACTCAGATCTACTGTTACTAAGAACTGTTGGGTGACTAATGAATCTGTTTCTTTTTCTGTTGCTTTGCTCTTCCCAAGTATTTTAAAGCCATAATAGAAACAAGCCACTTACCACTGACAGGCAAACTTTTCACTATCTATTTCCACTATTCCTGGAGGTGGAACAGCATGCTGGGCTACAACTGTTCTGGAAGCTGAAGAAAAAGACACGTTAAAGTTATATCACTAACAAAATGTAGTCACTACATGCTACATTCATAGGCACTGAACCAGTTCTTATTTATAAAGAATGTCTTCTACAAAGACATAGAAACACATGAACATAAACAAATTAAAGAAAGCAAAGTGACCATGTATTATATCAGGAACTGTTTTGGAGCCTTCCTATCTTGCTTAGCCTCATAATAATTCAACAACAATAAAATGGGTAATTTATTGATTGAACACTTCACATATTTATTATTTTTCCCAGTTCTTTGGTGTATAGGTACAGGTAAGAAAACCAAGCCACAAAGATTAAAAGAGAACTGTGCCTGAGTAAAGCAGTGGACTCAGTGGGAGTGAGCAGAGCTTGGTAATAGCATGCTTGTGTAACCTAGGTACAAAGCCTGACATTCAATCTCAGCCAGCGCTACAGTCAATTAATAAAAAAGTGAACAGTTAGAAAGGCTAAGGACACCAGCTTGATAAGCATCTGTCAGCTCAGCTGCACAATGCATTGGAAGTGATAAATTCATTTTTAAATTTAAAAGATGGATATTAATTCAACAGAAGCTCTAGGCTAAGACAGAACAAAAACATGGATCCTTGGCCTCATGAACAGACCTATCTCAAAAGACAAGCAGAGAAATGTTGCTTTATATGAGTAGTAAGAATTAGCTTCGCAGGGTGGGCTCTGAGTGTGTAGTGGCACCCTCAAGGCCCATGCTTGAGCCCAGCACCAAGAGCAGCACCTTCTACTCAAGCCTTATTAGTCTGGTTTTGTAGCAGACATTCTTACCTATTAAATGAGGGAAATCTGTACCATTAAGATTTTTACAAGAATGCAATCAAAGAATATGATACAAAGTACTTTATAAGTATCAGAAGCAGCCCTCAAAATACAGCAATGCTCAATATTGAACTACTTCAATTTTCTTAGCCCAGAGGTCCAGACCAATAGCATCAGCATCTCACAGGACCTTGTTGGAAATGAAAGTTCTCAGGTCCCACCTGACTAGAAAATTCAGGAGTCTGTGCTGTACGAATGCATTCAGACTGTTCTACTGTATTCTCAAGTCTGTGAACCACTATGCTAAGTAGGAAGCATGATTTATAACAATGTCTTGTAAATACCTTTTTAGAAATAACACCTATGAAGACAAAGCAACAAGTCAAGCATTTCATAATTCTTTGGTTTAGAATGAAAGAAGAGAAAGAAGGAAGAAGGAAGGAAACAACAAAAAAGCAGAGAACTCTGGTTGCCAAATGAAGAATAAAAATAAGCTAATCACTTTTTGGATGAATGTTAAAATAAATGTGAAGAGTTACAAGTTCTTTCCTTGTCCACTTACTGCCATGACCTAGATTGTCAACTAGTATCTGCAGGGCCAACTCAGTGGTCACACAGGTGGCCCTGACTAATCTACATGGGTCACACAACAAAAGCAATCTTGAACGGGAAAGGGACTGCTTTCATGATGAGGGAGACAGGGTTGAAGGAACGGAGGAGAAAAACAAAACAAAACAGGGAATAATCAGAATAAGTTGAAAATGCAGGAAACTGTCATCAATTTTAAAAAGAGAGAAAATAAGATTAATTCTGGTTCCAGTTCCATTCTAGCAATAAATAGTACACATTCACACATACATTACATTAATGAATTCTGGACACTGAAAATACTTCCGAGCACTTTACTTTGTACTTTGATTATTTAGAAAAAAAAAAAAAGCCTGTATTTAATTTTGTCCGATGTACTACTTACTACTAAAACTTGTAAAACAAACTTTTAAAAAGAGTTTCATAAAGAAACAAACATTTACCAAGTGTATTTAAAGGCTGGGAACACAGCTAGGTGATTGATGAAGAGACTCCAAGTGTAAGCGCCGTCCAGTTGGGTAAGGTTTATAAGGCTGGGGTGAGGACAAAGGAGAGGAGGGCCTGGTACCGTTTCTGACATGGTGAAAAGGTTTCTTTCTGCAGGGTGTTAGACTGAGCTCGGGCTGTGCTGCCATGGATGTGCTTTGACACTGACCCACACTCTTAGGCCACACACATTTGAAAAAACGGAAGATGGCAACAAAATTCTAATAACTATATAGAATATGGTATTATTTTTAAAAGTCAGCTTAATACCCATCAAGAAAATATACTCTTTGCAACTATGTAAATTATGATGGAATTAAGATGTTGGCCTAAAAACAGATCAAAGCTTTCATGATGATGAAGAAAGGGCAGTTTCAAGATGATCACTCCGTAAGAGAGCAGTATTCACTAAAACTGTAAGAGGAAAAAGTATTCAACTACAAAGGATAGTCAACTGAATGCTCTCCAGCTCAAAGTTAACTCTTTTGGGTCTCTAGAGGCCATTTCCACCTTTGTTAATGAATTACTACCTAAGTGAATAACCCACAGATTCTTAATGCTTAACTGAATTCATTAGACAAATGAGAACCAGGGCCTAGATCAGGGGTCGGGTTCATCTGCTGAGGTCAAAAGAAATGCTAAGATTAAAGA